CCCCAAAACCCCAAAACCCCAAAACCCCAAAACCCCTAAGAATGAAGAGGATATTGAAAAATCCTCTCAATAAATTTAAAGAAAATTCATTGATATAAAAACAATGGAGGGACAAAATATCCAGAAAGAGGTAAGTAATCGCTCGAGTTAGAAAAGACTCAAAAGAAACATTCCCTCTTGTGAAAAAGCCTAAGAATCGCTCTTAGCAGTTTGAAAATAGAGACACCAAAATAAGAATAAAACTATCCTTAATTGCTAAAGATTTATTTCCACATATTTTACTGATCTGACCAAATAATGAATCCAAGCTCTAAATTTTATGCAAACAAAGTAAAAATGAGTAGAAATGATAGGAATACCTATAAGTTAGCCTTAAGCTATGGATGGACTTCATCACAAACATGATCTTAGTATTTTTGATTTACTTTAATTATCAAACACAACATAAACACACTGATTCCATTGCTAACTTTATATAGACTGCAGAACTTTTTTCAACTATTTCCAAAAGTTTCGCAAGGCTAGCCGAAATCATGAGAGGAGAAGCATCTGAAGGTACAGTACCATCCCTTGGTGTGAAGCAAACTAGTTTAGCTATTTTCTAAAGCCCTTCAACAAGACAGAGTAAATAAAAAGGAGGGAAAAAGATTTCTCTGTTAAATATAGTTTAAAAACGATTGCAAGTCTTTTCAATATATCGACCTCTATTTAGTCGTGAACTCTAGATCCTGAGACTTTATAACTTCTTTTGAGTTAAAGCTGATTGCTTTCTTTAATACAGCACTCACCTCTCTTCCATATAGATTCTTTTTCAACAAAGGCTAAAGGAAAATCAACTAAATCTTCGAAGAGTGAGAAGTCCAAGAACGAGAAGGCACCTAAAGGAAAGAAACAGAAGAAGAGTAAAGCTGAGAAGGATCCTAATGCACCTAAGAAGCCTCTTACCGCCTTCATGCTTTACACGAACAAAAGGAGGGAAGAAGTCATGAAGGAGAACCCAGGGCTAAAGATCACTGAAATATCTTCCATCATTGGGAGAGAATGGAAGGAACTTACTGAAGAAGAGAAAGATGTAGGTTATACACATAATGATTTTTGAGCAAAAAATTTTACTTTTCAAAATCATCCTCTATACCTCAAGCTTAGGTTAGCTTGGCTAAAATTTTAGGTGAGAAATCGAGCCAGGCTAATCCTAATCTGAGTTAGAAAAGGAGTTTGAGAAAATATTTTATTTTAAAAAGATTTCGGGAGAGTTAATGTATAGATATGGAAAGAGAAGCATAATGATGCCAAGCTTATATATGAGCTTAATGTCTTCAACTACAAAAAGTAACAAATTTTTCTCATTTTATTAGGGGCAAAGGTCAACTTGTTGAGAACGAACCCACTTATAAAAGTAAAAGCAAAGGAAATGCTGAAGGTCAGAAATCCGCCATGAAGACAATGTCAGGAAAGAAGAGAAAGAAGTATAGCGAGGATGGCAGCAGTATAGAATCATCAAGTGAAGAGGAGGAAATTAAGCCTAAGAGACATAAGGCTAAATAAAGCATGAATTTGGCTAACATTTCAATACTCTCTATTCAAAAAGGGGTTTTGGGGTTTTGGGGTTTTGGGG